TAATATGAAGCACCAGGATGATTTCATGGCGCTCAACGTGTGGAATGTGTTCACATTTTTCCTGGATGATTTCCTCGAGAGTCAAACTACTAAACTGGAGTATTGGGTGAGGTATGGTATATGTGTTTCATTTATTATATGTCTGGCCACTAATCTTTTAATATTATGGTGAGTGTGTGATACTGTACTGTATATTCCTATTAACTAGCATGGTATAATTATAATGTTATCAAACAAAATATAGGTTAATCCTGGATTTTGATTATTTCATTCAAGTAATATAGTAATAAGTTATGACTCATAACAAATTATCATTTTTTATAATAATAATAAGAAAAATTAATTAACCAGTTTTCACTGTACTAGTAAATTAATTATATTTATTTTATACACAACAAAATGATAAAAACTAGAAAATGGGAACAAAACATAACAGATGGCCACTCGTCTGGCACAGACTTTTTGGATCTACTTTGTAACGAATTGCACGTCAGAATGAGCAAGGTACTATCGGAGAAATTGATTTCGATGCATAAATCATGGTACATGAAATATCTGAGTTTCTACGCTGAAACTGAAAAGGTTAAAACTGGCGATCGTATGTACACATTGGATGAATACGATGCACTCAGGTATGACATAATGTTAGGCAATAGTTAAATATAGTGTATGTGTGTATCAGCTATTTAAATAAGACTATTTCAATACACAAAACAATTAGGATCGTCGACTGTGGCTATATCGTCATGCAAGTGTTCCTATACGGATCGGCCAAGTTTGACCCTGATGAATATCCCGAAATTGTCACTGATGACGCGTGGACCATGTTCAACACGTGGGCGGCGCGACACTTTTACTACGTGAATGATTTGTACTCGAGCAAAAAGGAGATCTTGTTGCACCAGGGCAAATACACCCTGATCTACATCATCATGTGCAATTACAAATGCGACGCCCAGACAGCGGCTGATAAATTGGTGACCATGATTACCGGGGCGTGGACCATGGTCATTAAGTATGGCGATTCGCTGAGACTACATAATATACCCTTGCTGCATGAATATATCACGGATATAATATGTTTTCTAAAAGGGCATTTATACTGGTCGACGATAACACCGCGGTATAACAATTTGTCTTTGTATGACAATTACCAGCTTCAACCGTAATGGTTCCAGCTCAAAGCTTAACATTTTGAATATAATTTTTAACGTTTAGTTTAACTTGATTATTTTTGTGTTTAGTAATTATAACGAGTGCGCTGAGTAGTTTTACTTTGTGTATTGGGCTATTGAAAATATTTAGATTGTATTTAAATTTATTTGTGGTTAAAAGGGTTTAAATAATTGATAGTTTATAATTTTTATTATAACAACATATACATAAAATAAAATGTTAATTAAATACTGTAATGATCAAAAGGTTTCATTTTATTTTAAATATAATATTAAAGTTTTAATGATTTAAATATTTTACTAAATCTGAAATCGATAACTTTAAATTTAGAATAATACCCGAAAAATAATTGTAAAGTATGAGTAGTTTTTAAAGTTATTTGAAACACTTTTTTTGCGTTCAAATGAAATCAAGTTTTGTTTGCAGTCGTGAATCGATTTATAAAACAAATTAAGTTTTATTTAACTTTTATTTAAAAAATACAAATAGTATTAAATGAATTGAATAAAAATAAGTTCACAATCAGTGTCACGAATAGTGCACTCAATTAATGTACAAATTAAGTGATGCTTTTGTGTGCATTTGTATTGTCTTTAAATACAAAATATTTGGTATTTTTATTGTATTGTCGGTGTGTTTGTGTGGGTGCGAGTGNTGTGTGGGTGCGAGTGCTGGCTATTCTGGTGGTTGACCCCATTCAGGCCTTACATTTGACCACCAGTTCCCATACACTTTGTTTGCACTGATGTCCACTTCTACTGGACATACATTTGGCATTTATTTATAAATACAGAGAATTAGTGTCATAAACTAAAAGCATTTTAAGTTTGAATTTATATTTCAAATGAAACACATTTATAATAAAAATTATTGAAAATAAGTTTAAAATAAAATTCTTAGAAAATAGTTTGTATTTAAATTTACATATACTTTACATAATTAATAATTTTTATTATAAAAATTAATATAAATTTCATTAAATTCAATCTTGAAACATTTTTCAATAATCATTTATTAATACAATTAAATTTTAGAATTAATTATATAAATTCATCTAACATGAGTTGTTACTAATTCATAACAATTATTGTTAATTCCGAGTTTCCTGATAAGGTGTCACAAAATCTAAAATTGACATTTCATAAATTACTAAAGCAAGTGTTATGCGACTACGTTAAATTATTTGTTTCAAGTTAATTTTGTTATAAAATTGTAGTAGTGTATTATTCCAAGAACACAACAGCTGTAATATTTATAAAACAATCACGTTAACTTTTAAACCTAAACACGTATTTATATCGTAAACCAAAATTCATATTTTAATACATAGATACAATCAGCACAGATAATCATTACACTTACTGTAAAACTATTGTAATATTAAAATATGCTGTCTCAAATAATGTTATTAGCTATATTTGTGACTTTCATAGCTAATACCGGTGCTGATAAAGATCCGGATCAACCATTTCAGTTCGCAGAGTGTATGGACTCACATAACCTAACCTCTGTTGTGGACAAGAATCGGCACCAGTGGCTAAAATTAGGAAAGAGCTTACGACATGGATTTGAACGACTTGCAAATAAGCCAGATAATTTTGCATTCGCTGTACGCACTGATCTGGCTGACCTACTGGATGGCATCGGCACCACTCTCATCAACTCGACTAAACACCAAACGGCTAAAACCACGTATGACTTCCGGTTTGAGCAAAAAGGGCTACTATATAAAAATTTGGCCAAGTTCATACGTGTATTATTTCAGTCTGTACCTGGGGCTCAACAAGGCCATCACATTGATGATTTTAACAAATTTCCTAAATCGTTTGAGACCCTGATGAGTTCGATCAATTAGAATATTAATGAGTCCAATCAGCAGGGTATGCAATTATGCGGCAGTCAATGGGATGATGACTTTGAGAGGGAAATTATCCGGGTAATAAAGGCTCAATTTAACTATCGTCTTTCCCAGTTACATGAAACTTTAAATAAATTAGTAAATAAAGTGGGCAAGGTGTTTAAATTAATGAGAACTATTGCTAGAATGATTACCGGATGATTAAAATGTTACTATAAATAAAAATATCTATATTACTAAATACAAAGTTTATGTTTTAAAAATAATTATTTTTGATTATCTAAATTTATAAAATTAGTCTGAACTACATATTAGTATTTGATATTTTTTTAAATTTTAAATAAAAACGAATTGTTTATTTAATTAACATGGTTATTACAAGTGTGTAATTTTTAATAACAGTTTACTTTTATTACTAATATATAAATAAACTAGGTCAACTAGGTAATACAATTTCTGGTAATCGGAAATAATCGGGAATCATAGTCTGATGCTTTAACCTTGCTTATCCCAACCTAACTGACCAATAAACTAATCACTAACTCAAATACCTAACGAAATGGGTTTAATTCCTAACGAAATGTGTTTGCTCAAATGATATGTATTTCTATATATTTTCACAAATAGTGTACGTTCATTGGGACACAGTGTACAGATACCCTGAATAGTGTACTGTATATCCCAATAGTGTACAGTTGGTCAGTCTGCTGTTTGTACATTTTGTTTAATTATTTTCTCAAGCAAGCTATAATCTTAAAATAAATCTGTAATAATGGGTTTATGCATTATCAAGATTATAATAGCTTATATACCGGTATATTACATCAAATAATAACACAGTTAATAAATGCAATAATTTTTATTAATTAAAGTTAAAAAGTTAAAACTTTACAAAACTATCAAATTCATAATTAATTCAAGTTAAAATTAGGCAGAACCATGGTTATTTATGGGAGTGCCAAGTGAAATTGATCCAGGTTTGTCCATGTTACAGCTGGTTGCGCACTTATTACCAGTGATTGTAACTTGCATCTGGGTCACATTCAATGATTTGAGTGCCCCTGATGAACATGCGTTTGCATCGGTCGGGATATACGTGTTAACGGTGTAAATAAAATCACCAGCGCAAACACCATCTACAATTGTGCCCATGGTCACCTCCATGATATTGCCTAGGTATAATTAAATAGAATAATATTAATATGAAAATACAATTATAATTATAATAATTTTTATGTACCATTAATCATAGACATGATCAAGCTCATATTAGCCAACGGTACTGGCTGCTGTTGACCATTAATTTCAGCAATGTACATGAACGGGGTTTGCATATAATGGTAGCCATTACACGATACGCCAATGGGGAATGTGGCATTCAAAAACAACCCTGATACTCCACCAGTACATGCAGCGTGTTTATAAATGGTTACATTGGTGGTGACAAACGGCGTATATGCTAGGTAAAATTATATTACTATTAACATCATATTCAAAACATAATTTTATATCTAATTCACCAAGCTTAACCTCCGGGTGACCTCCGACCTGTGGGTCATAAACCATAAACTCTTTCAAATCGACATTCAATGACTTCATAGTTTGTCTATAATTTGCGGCAATTGGGTGCTTGCAATCGCCCCTGATCAGTTGAGCCAGGTCCACGTTTAATTGAGCTGGGGCAATGGGCGCTGGGTGATTTAGGCCAAGTAGTTCATCAATGATTGGCTTTAGAAAGCGTTTTTCGTGGGCCGACACGAAACCTGTAATTAAAAAGTAATTTAAAATTTATTTTAATATTTCATAGGATTTTTAAAAAATATAATTGTTTTTAATTTTAATTATACTTACAAACAACGAGTGATAACACAATAGCATTGATAAGGATATTCATTGTAATTATTCTAGGTTATATAAAAACTTAAAGTTTATAAATGTTTAGTGATTAGATTTAAACACCAATGAACTGGATAAATAATTTTGTGTTTATTCCGCGGTTTATATACTAAAATTATTTCAATAAATTATGCTGTACGTATATTTATTTATTAATTAACCCGGATTGATTATAATTAATTGTAGGGACAGTAGCCCATTTCAGCTGGATGCTTTTATTAACTTGATTAATATTTTTTAAAAACATCCAGGATGTCTAATTGTTCATTTTAAATTATGATACTTTATTAAAGTTTTATAATGTATAATTTTATGACTATATATTTGAACTTAATTGTTTAAAATATATTATTACATTTTATCTAGATTAAACATAATGAATAACATGAGTAATATAGTTCGTTATGTAATCTTATCTTAATTGTTTTATATAACCTTGCTTACACATTAAAAATCATTTGCTTACAATAAATAATACATTTGTAAAATTTCTGTGCATGTGTACCCAATTAATTACTAAAATGCTCAGCAAATGTTTTACTAAAATTAGATTGTAGTTGTATGAGATAACAAGATAATTTATCCTCATTAATCTTATATAATTTATCAATTAATTCATTACAGAATATAATTATTTATATGATAAACATTATTAAAAATATAAAACTTATATTTATAAAGAAATTATAGCTTACGTTAAGACAATGCAATACAGTATATCTCACTGACTTTAAGATCAAATGACCTGGTTTAGAGACTTGGTTATATATAAAATAATTATTAAATGTTAAATTTTTATTTATGTTTTAAAAACAAGTTTTAAAATGTTATAGTTAAAGTAAATAATTCACTTCAATTTGATTTAAAGAGTTATGTTGGTCATTTAATGACAAATGACATTTTTAATACTTTAATATTTTACTACTTACAATTTAAATCTCATATAAATACCCTTTTCTAAAAGACTTAATTATTTAATTATTAATTACTTTAAATCTAGCATTTCAAAACGTGTTTTTAAAAAACAAATAAAAATCTAACACTAATTAATAATTTAATATACTATATATACCTAGGTCTCACACTTTCTGGAGAGCCAGGGGGCTATATAAAATACAGTAGTTTTAAAGTCAGTGCCTAACATATGAATTATATAAACTAAACTAAATAATCTTTATCAAAAATTAATCAAGTGACATTATTGGCCGTGTTATGAAAAATAATTTATCACCAATTTTGCTCAGAATGCTACATGCTAAATTGTCCAAACAACTATTTTTAATCAAAAATTATAATTTTCAAAACCTATGTCTTAGTGCGTAATAATGTTTTATAATTATTTGTACATGTATAATTTTTATGACGTAAATATGTATTTCAAAAATAGTTACCGTGTTAATGAAATAGTCGAGTACATTGTGTATCACACATTGATTAATTGTACTTGAATATATTATTTTATCATATTTTGTGCCACAATTTCTTAACAATAATAATTTGATAAGATTTATAAGAATTAACATGCGCCAAATAATCAAGTATATTATTTCCTAATAATAAATTATGTTTAAAATTTAAAAGTATCTAGTTCATAATACATAGTTTGCATAAGAATTCACATGGTAATTTAGTTTTTTGTTAAACCAACTTATAATTATTTAAAAAGCATAAATAAATAATTTATTAAAAACATTTTGAAATTTTTATCAAATAAATGTTGTATTGCAAGCAAATTGGGTCATAATTGTGCATGTGGTAATTGTGATAAATATATTTTGCCAAACCACAAACTATCTCAAAGATTACTTATAATCTAATAATTGATCGAGGACTTAATTTCAATGAAAGGTGCAATTTAAATTACAAAATGCAGCATAAAATTGAGTTAATATAGTTAATGCTGATGAGTATAAATATAAGCAAAGCTTAATTTTAAAATACATAAAAAACAATACGTAACAAGTATTCAGTTGCAAATATAACCATGTTAATTCAAACACTTACCATTATACTAACTGCCCTCATATCTGGGCTAGTATGCGAACCAGAACTGGATTGGCGTAAAAATGGTACTATACTACCGGTGCCCGAAAAGGTAGTAAAGAATATATAATACTGTATTTTTAAAACTATAAATACTATAAACATTATATTACAGAGTGATTGCCTCAACGCGGATACAGTGAACGCATTGGATATGATTAGTGCTATTCGGGCACAAAATGTGACCAAAATGAGCGCACAGGAGGTGTTTGATTGCAGTGAGTATTTAGAGTTAACATGGTCATTTAGTTTATGATTATACCCCTTTATTTATTAACATACTTTTACTTAATCAATCGCCTACATCATATTCATAATTCAAAAACACACTATTAATTTTAACAGTAACAAAATTTACATACTTTGCATACTTTACATAATTTGATAATTATATAGTTCAGATTTTAATAAAATAAAAAGTTTCTAGATTAAATTAATAGAATACAAAAATTTTATTTATTGTTACCATAAATAAATTAATATATTAAATATCTAAACACAAATCAAACAGACCCTGATTGGTGTATATGCCAAACTAAGCCAAATACCACCGAAATTATTAAATCAATCTGGGTCAACCAGCTCGGGTATATTGAGACCGAAAGTGACCACCCTTATACGGGCCAATGTGTGCACTCGGCTGAACATTGTCCGGTAATCATCATGCAACGTGGTTACCACTTTAAAACCTATGCCTATTCAAGTCGAGAATACCACGATGAAGACGTCTATGAGATGCTGCTGCACGACTACTCCCCGGTGGTGGTGTACGTGAGGTCCAGTTCCCAGTCGTTTCAGACATACTCCGGGGGTATACTCGATGCGAACGACTGCGGAGGTCCTGTGGATCACTCGCTACTGTTTGTGGGGTATGGCGTGGAAAATGGTACCCAATATTGGATCGCTAGGAATAGGTATGTATTTTGTTAGGTTGGTTATTTTATTGTTTGTAATAATTTTATGCTCATGGTCAGTTGGGGCGCTGAATGGGGTGAAAATGGTTATATACGTATAGTAAGGGGTAAAAGTATGTGCGGTGTTGGTGATGGTGGTTATGTGGCTGTAAGTGAAAACTGAGACAGTAAACACGTTTACCATGGACCAATATATTTTGTTTTATAATTAATTTGAAATAAATATTTTTTGTGCGTTACATGTAAATTTATTTATTTTATATATTCAGAATAATTGGTGTAATAATTAAATTTACTCTACTATTTTAGAAATGTTGATCATCTATTATTATTATTAATTTATTAGATATTGTTTTTAAGGCTATAATTTATAATATTTCAAAATAGTAGACATTTTTATATTATAATGATCACTATTAAACTCTGAAATATTTTTGTTAATTTAATATTTAAATAAATAAATTATAAGAAAACGTTTTTGTAATTACATTATTACATACATATTTTAAGTTAATTATGTTTTTATACAATATTTTATTACAACATTTCAGATCAAAAAGTTTGTTATATTAGTTTCAAAAATTTATAAATTAGTTGTCATTATTATATTCCAAACTATTCTCAATTATTTATATAATAAACCATAATTAGTATTTTATTATTTACTATATAATTTGTATTTTCTAACATGTACTAAAATATCATTATATTGGTATCAATTAATTGGTATTTACTCATAGAAAACAAATTAATTGTAATGCCATTAACTAATGGATCATAAAATAAATTAATTATCTAATGTATTGTATTTACACAGAATTTACACATTACAAAATAAAAACAGAATTACATTAATAAAAATATAGTTACTATAATCCTACTTTAAATACAATAAAGTATACAACAACCTAATATAATATTTAATAATTAGTTTCACTTCAAATTTAAAATATCTATTAAATAATGGATGAAATAGATATCAATTCTAGTATTCCTGATGAGTTAGTGATACCTGAATGCGATCAACAATTGCATAAAATTGGCTTAAAATTAGACAAAACTAATTACATGGATATCAAGCGAAACAGATTCTGCACACCATTTGTATGTCATTTAATTATCAACGCGTTTATGTGGCGATCTATTCTAGTCTTACTTATACCCAGAGAGCACCGGGATCTACACGTATACTATGGTGACTTTGGCTACCTGTTAGGGCTTAGTTATCACTTCAACCTAACCCAAATGACATGGGAATTGTACCACATATTTATCATGCTCATATTTCACTACAACTACATTTTTGATATTAAACCCACATTTTTAGCGCTGTTTATAATGATGGCAGGTAATATAACACCTGGATCAATTGGCTTATACAACGCGCAGTACATTCACAAGCTAGCTCGAAAATGTCAAAAAACGTTTAGCCTGGGTAACAGTTTAGTGAAATATGGTTTACCTTTGGTATTTTTGGCAACATTCGTACCCTATGTTATCGCCTGTAATTTATGGGAAGTCCTAGTATATGGCATACCCCATAGCCTAGTCACTGGACTAACAGCTTATTGTGGGTACGGTATCAGCATTTGGCTATTAATACACTTATATTTAATATCCATTTATCTTATATACAAAATACGTGCGATTAATACCGATTTGATTAATATTATGAAACGTAAGCGTAGGCTAAGTGTCGTATATTTGATGCAAACTATGCGCGCGTTTAACGCAATATACGCCGAGATTAACGACTATAACGTCACATATTTGTCAAAATATATGCTAATTGTGTGGTCAGTGTTAAGCCTAACTTCATTAACGGCTTTATTTAGTTTGCTATTATATCCTATGGGTGTGTTCAGCCGTGTTTTTATAGGCTTTCCATCCCTTCTCATAGTTATATTGTTTTTAGTAAACATATGGATCGCATCAACAATTAATTATGAGGCAAACAAATCTTATAAAATATTATGTAGTCTTAAAACCCAGGTTAATAATTATGCGATATGTTATAAGGTAAGTCAAATAAATTTGCTATGCTATGATTTGTTAAAATAAATTATTAATTATAATTTTAGTTAATTGTATTCATTGAACGTACGGCTAAAATGAGGGTGGGCATTTGGTGTTGGAAGTTGTTTATAGTGGATTATAAACGGTGCGTTGAGGTATGACCTAATATTTAGCAAGTATGAATAATTCTTATAATTAATTAAATACAATGCTGTTTATTATGGAATTGATCTAGATACTATCGATATTATCGATGATGTTTTTAAAATTTATTGAATTAGAGAGAGTATAAGTGACAGGTATAATATAATTTTATAAATGTTTTATTACTAATATTATTTTTTAAATGATTCTGTCCTATGGATCACTCGCTACTGTTTGTGGGGTATGGCGTAAAAATGGTACCCAATATTGGATCGCTAGGAATAGGTATGCATTTTGCTAAGCTAATTAATTTTTTGAGTCTAATTATTTTTATGCTCATGGTCAGTTGGGGCACTCAGTGGGGTGAGAATGGCTATATACGTATAGATTCCCCATTTTGATACACGCCACAACCACTACCACCAATACACCGACATTCGCTCTTTATTATTTGTACAAATGGTACCTGGTTATATAAAACAATATACTAATTAAACTTTATTTATAAAAACACGGTTATGGAATGTACCACATATTTATCATGCTCATATTTCACTACAACTATATTCATGATATTAAACCCACATTTTTAGCACCGCTTCAAATGATGGCAGGAGACATAACACCTAGATCAATTGGCTTATACAACAAACTGTACATTTACAAGTTAGCACACAAATGTCGCAAAATATTTACATTGGGTAACATTTTAGTAAAACGTGGTTTACCTTTGGTATTTTTTGCAACTTTTGTACCCTATGTACTCGGCTGTACCCTATGGGAGATCTTTGTATATGGCATACCCCATAGTATAATTACTGGGCTGACTGCCTATTGTGGGTTAGGTATGAGTAGTTGGTTATTAATAAACTTTTATTTAATATCTATTTATCTTATATACAAAATACGTGCGATTAATACCGATTTAATTAAAATTAAGAAACATAAGCATAGGCTAAGTGTCGTATATTTGATGCAAACTATGCGCGCGTTAAACGCAATATACGCCGAGATTAATGACTATAACGTCACATATTTGTCAAAATATATGCTAATTGTGTGGTCAGTGTTAAGCCTAACTTCATTAACGGCTTTATTTTGTATGTTATTATATCCGATGGATGTGTTCAGCCGTGTATTCATAGGCTTCCCATCGCTTCTCATAATTATATTGTTTTTAGTAAACATATGGATCGCATCATCAATCAATTATGAGGCAAACAAATCGTATAAAATATTATGTAATCTTAAAACACAGGTTAATAATTATGCCATCGGTTATAAGGTAAGTCAAATATATTTGTTATGTTATAAGTTGGGAAAACAAATTATTTATTATAATTTTAGTTAATTATATTCATTGAACGTACGGCTAAAATGAGGGTGGGCATTTGGTGTTGGAAGTTGTTTATAGTGGATTATAAACGGTGCGCTGAGGTATGACCTAATATTTAGCAAGTATGAATAATTCTTATAATACATTAAATACAATGCTGTTTATTATGGAATTGGTCTAGATACTAACGATATTATCGATGATGTTTTTAAAATTTATTGAACTAGAAAGAGTTTCCCATAAATGACAGGTATAATATAATTTTATAAATTATTAATGCTAATATTATTTTTAAAATGATCCTGTCCTATGGATCACTCGCTACTGTTTGTGGGGTATGGCGTGGAAAATGGTACCCAATATTGGATCGCTAGGAATAGGTATGCATTTTGCTAAGCTAGTTAATTTATTGATTTGAATTATTTTTATGATCATGGTCAGTTGGGGCACTCAGTGGGGTGATAATGGCTATATACGTATAGTAAGGGGTAAAACTATGTGCGGTGTTGGTGATGGTGGTTATGTGGCTGCAAGTGAAAAATGATACAGTAAACACGTTTACCATGGACCAATATATTTAGTTTTATAATTAATTTGAAATAAATATTTTTTGTGCATTACATATAAATTTATTTATTTTATATATTCAAAATAATTGGTTTAATAATTAAAGTTGCTATACTAATTTTAAAATGTAGACCACATGTTTGTCACAATCACTTAATGTTTCAAATTTATGTTAATTTTGAAATAATTATTTTTAATCTTTGAAATAATTCAACTGAAATTGATTTTAACATACATATTTGTATAATCTTAAAACCAGGGATACAAAATTTGGTAAATGTTTTTGTGTGAAAACATGCGAAACATATGATTTGATAATCTATTGCTTTAAATCGCAGTTAAATATAAATCCCAGGCTTTAAATCCCAGGGCATATCAGGGATAAACGCTTAAACTGCTGCACAGTATTTGCAAAATTATATATAAATTTTGATATTTTCAGTCTACACTAAACACAAGTTAAAACAAGTTAAAATTAAAAGTTAATAAATTAAAATTAAATTATTTAAAAACACGTGTTTGTAATATTAATATCATACATATTCAGCTAAAATAAATTCATATATAATATATATCATGATATTAGTAGTATAGTATAAGAAACACGATGTCAAGGGATAACAAATTGTCAATATAAGTTGGTGAAATTAACAAAATAATATTAGCATTAATAATTTATAAAATTATATTATACCTGTCATTT